CTCTCTCTCTCTCTCTCTCTTCCTGCGCAGCCCTCCTTCACATTCTCTTCCGTGTTCTTCTAATTTGCTCCCTCACCATCCTCACCCTGGCTCGCCTCGCCTCATTCAGACTCATCCTCCATGCCGTCAGCCTGCTTACTGTACTCCGTACCCATGTACCCACCTTCTTAAAACCGGCAAGACTCGGGAGCCCAACTTGCGAAGACTGCAGGCTTATTGGCAGTGAGGTAAATCTCACAAAGGGTGAAAACGCAGAAATTCCCGAGCCCTGGTTGCAGTCACTGGAGCAGAGTCGAGTGTAGTGAAGGATCCTCGAGGTCAGCAGCATTCGAGGTGTTTGCTGTGCACCTTTCGACTTATCAGAGAGAGCACCGGTCCGAGGACGATGACCTCTGGAATGACTTTAAAGAAGTCAATGGAGGCCCCCGCGTCCTTGCAACCTGTTGCGCCGCGGAGAAAATGGGGTCGATTCGCCATTCACTTAGGCGACTTGAAAACGAATCGTTCCCGAACGGATGCACGCGAAATTCATGCAACTTGGCCCGACATGCTAGCCCCTTTCCTCATCACATGCCGTTCACCGCATTCGGGTGTACTCGGCGGATGTCAAATTGGGTTCTGCAGGCTCGCTCCTTAGGGCAACTTCTCAAGATCCTTGCCTCGTGATCCCGAAGTAGCACGGCGGTCTCGTGGCAGCATGGAGCATGATCGATGCCGACCGCCGAACCGAGGTAGATGTCATGGACTGGCTTTCGCGAAACCATCCGCACCATCCTCGCCGCGGAGAGCTGATGGCAGCTGGGGATCAAAATTTGGGCTTCGTGGGTGTCCAGATGTTTTCAGGTACGCTGCAAAGCGACTAGGTCGGATCATGTCACTGGTGCACTAGGTTTGCTGGATCGGGCCACCTTAAAGTCGTGTCTTAATGGTCGGAGATCTTTCTCCAGCCAGCTTCGAGGTTAAATTCGGCTAAGGGCTCTGAAAGACACACGACAAAACAACCAGACTCGCAGCGACGGGAAAGTCGCAAAGCCCAGACCCCCGAAGCCACTGCTGCTCACCCGAGGAGAGGGTGTCGCAGCGACTGTACCAGCTCGGGTTGACGCCCAGCCCCTACCAGTGGACAGAGAGGCTCGCCTGCTCCCCAGAAACCTATCCTTCGATCCATATTCTGTTGCCCCGTGGATTGAAGGCTTAATGAGCAGCTGACGCCCTTTGTCCTGATAGACCCAGAGACGCAGGAAGTTCCTTGGCCAGGCGCAGGGCGGTTGTGTGATCGCAGAACCTTTCAAGCCGCATGTTTCCATGACAGGACCCGCTTCGGCTTTGTCATGGTTGAAAGGCCGCCGGGATGATTTCAGGTTGCACGCTTGCTTTCTGCACGGGATGTAGGCAATCCCTTTGCCTGAGAGATAGAGAGCATGGCACGGCAGCAGTGCAGCAACCCTCGAATTGTCGAAACGAGTTGGCACAACAGGAAACGCGTCCCAGCTCCTCCATCAGTCACTGCCCTGGAGCTGAGGAAACTTCAGTGATGTGATCCTTCCTGCGTTTCAAGCGGCGAATGATGCGGGTGCCTGGCAGGCGCTCGCTCTGACTTGTGGCAAACCCAGAGAGCCCAATACCCCTTAATTAAGGAATATACCTTTATTGAGGATCCTACTATAATTTAGGGAATATTCCTTAATCAAGGGATATTGGAGTCTCTGGGAAACCTGTAAAAAGGCAGGTGCCTCGAGGATTCTTGTGGGAGTTCGTGTAGCTCAACGGCTTTTTTGATATTCTGCAGATTCCGGGATTGCCGGAGATTCGGATTTTTTTGGAAACTCAAGCAAGAGGTGCACCACAAAAAGGGAGGCTGTGTTCTTCCCTGCGAAGGGCCACGACAAAAACCCTTTTCGAATCTCTTTCACGACGGCTGGCAGCTGCGAGTTCTTGCGTGTTTTTTGGTGGAATCACGCGAAAAAATCTTGAAATCTTCGATCACGCAAGCATGTACCTGCGTCGGTCTTCTCACACGTCATGATTATGATTGGTAGTGACTATCTGAAGACTTCGACTGCACAGAAGACAGGAGCACGACGAAGGCTTGCACAATGCTGGTCACTGGGAGCTTGCGTGGATCTGGCTCCTGGGCCCTCATGGAAAACATTGCAAGACGTTTGAGGAATTGTTGGGCTTGAGGACTCGGCAAGCCCGAAGGGCCATGTAGTCTATCTTCGTCTGTTGCTCTTCATGTCACCAAGCATTACCTGTCGCTGAGTTGCTCTGTACTAGTTGACTAATTGATGCTATCGAGTGTCCCGGGATACTCCGACCCAGGCAAGACGACAAATGCGAAGCCAAGTGGCATCCGAAGGTGTGCGATCTGGCGACTCGGCTTTCATGAATCAGCAACAAGTTGGAACGCCGCATCGAACGTTTGATGGCAACTAATCTCGTCTGGTGAGGTCCAAGATATTCAGAACATCTGGCCTGCGAGAGAAGCGCTGCTCTCCGCAAGATTCTCGCGCATGAACCCCAACACGGAGGCACTATGTGCAGCTGTGATTCTCCCCAGGGTATGGGATCTTTGGGTTCTCGGCTTCTCGGTGAACGAGTTGATTTCAGCGGTAGCACAGCGAAGACAAGCACTACATGCCACTTGTACAACCTCAATTTACATGACTTGAGACGTGCTTCCCGACGGAGTTAGAAGGAAGCCTGCGAAGGGTCAGATAGTGCGGAAGCAAGAAGCCAAGGCTTCTGCTGCCAAGTGACATGGGCCCATGCCTTGTGCCACTCCGCCTTGGAGGTTATGGACCACACCGCGGCAACCAACCAGCGCATCAAGATTCACTGCGGCGTTTACAACCCGAGCAGCCTGGCCGAGTTGGGTTACACACGCTTATTTGTTGCTTCAGTCCCATGTGTATCGTGGAGACACTACAATCACTACAACTTGTGACACTGCGGACATGCTCCATGCTGACGAATCCTCCAGCGAACCTGCCTGCACTTAGCTCTGCAGTAAGCGCTATGACTTCATCACCTAGACTTTTTCCACAGCGCAAGGGCCAGTTCACGAATCAGCAGGATGGATCGACCTGTCGACCGAATATAACATGTAAAGGAGTGTCAAAGACAAGGCGACCGGAAGACTGTACGAGCATGAGTTCTCAATGAGCCTCTCTGCAACAGCATTCCTCAGCTCCGAAGGCAATGTGACCATGTTCATTGCAGACCAGGAGCTAACCTGGCGTCGAGGCAAGCAGTCCGAACATGTCCAAAACAGAATCGCTCCATCCACGGCGGAGTCAGAGCAGGTCCCGTAGCTTCTGAGTTGAGATTTGCTCAATTTGCGATGTGGAGAGCGAGCATCAGCATCATCACCTCACCAAGTGTTCAGCTTCGCGGAGGGATTTGCGATGTGAGGAGGCGTTGTGGATTCTGGAGGTGAAACCCTGCGCTACCATGAACAAAACGGTGAGCTGTGGTGTTGCGTGCTTGGAAGTATTTTGCCTTCTACTGTTTTACCAGGGCACTGCGTCCTGCTGGATGACAGCTACGGCCATCGTCCTCTGGCTTGAAGTAGAAAGTGCCGGGTGGAGCAGGGTTCGGTCGGTGTCGACATGCAGTTACGGCCTATCCTCCAAGGCCTGGCCACTGCAGCTACCGACGAGCCGAGAACCATCTTGGAGATCAAGGCCGGCCATGGGCGGCTGAAGCGGTAGCATGCAGTGTCGTGACTACGGCGTTCCATGGCCGAGAGGGGGGGAAAAGCTGTGTTTGCGGCTTTTGCGCCAGATCTACCACCCAGACTTGGCTTGGGCCGACTGCCTCGACGACGACGGTGCTCTGGATGATGACTGTCCACACCAGGTGAAGGCTCTGAGCCTGAGCGGGGTTCGGGGGCAGTCCGCTCTATGTCAAATCCCCTTAAGGCAGGCTGTTGCAGCGTCATCCAACAAGATACCCAGGGAAGACAGAGAGTGCTGTGGAATGCTTTGACCCGAAGGCAAGGAGCACGCAGAACGCGGAGCTCTGAGACTTCTGCTCCTGAAAGCCACGGGGGCACTGAAGAGCGCGCGTGCGCTGCGCTTCCTGCTCCCGGAGCAGATCGCGTTTTCAAGACGTTTCACCCGGACAATTGGTCATCTCGTAGAACAGGCTTCCGCGGCTTCGGCTTCTGACCGATTCAGTATCACCTCGGCACATTGAGGCATGGAGGGTCTCGGGGTCTGAGACCGACCTTCTAAGCCGCAGCGGTTTCTTAGCTACCCTGATATCAACATACACACATCGGATGTCTCGAGGCGGTTTCCAAACGCTCAGCGTTTCGCTTTTAATTATTTCGGCTGCCCGCTCAGCCGTTCCGTTGCGCGGTTTTCCTGTAGCTTTGGGCATCGCAATCCGGCAGCGTCCTGCAGCCAAAACGCGGGGCCAGCGAAAGTTGATGTCGATGCGTGTCCAGGAGCTGGAACATTCATATCTCCCATCGTGACCTACGTGCACATCGGCGGGACGCGGAGCTGGCCGCAGGTCTGCGATCATTGGTGTCGGTGCCGCTCTTTTTGTCAGTCTGAGTGCATGATGTAGCGACATTTAGACTTGCTTTTTTTCGCAAAGGGCGCGGGTGGCCCTTTTCGAGTTTTGGTTCCAGGACGCTTGAGCGTGTCGGGGATCCGCCAGTCTTGCGGACTGTGAAGGCGGTGTCGTCTACGGCAATGGCTACATACGCCTCTTCAGCGGCAGCCACCTGTTGTGCACCGGGTACTTCTACGCATTCAAGGCTGACACTGATGGTGAATGAATGCATGTATCACATGGCGAGCCTGTAGTTCGGGATCTGCTTGAAAGAACCGAAAACTTCAGCATCTGGATGTGATTTTCTGTCGTGTTCGCTCCGAGCAGATCGACGCTGTGGACGATGAGCATTTCCCGCTGCGTGCTCAGTCGTTCAAGATCCACCCCTACCCAGCTCCCGACTTTATTGATAGAAACTGGAAGCAAGAAGCCTTCCTTGAGACTGACTCGACGAACACCTGGCTGGGCACGTTAGGGTGCCGAGGACTCACACGCCACAAGCAATTGAAGCCTGCGGTACTTGGCTATCTCTAAATAATACTAAACCAACCCATTCCAAGCCACTGCAGCAAGAGCTGCAGGCTAGATTCGCTCCGCGACATGTCCCTGGCCTTTGGCGTCTCGCACCTCCCGGGCGGGCACAAGCCGTCACGCCCAGCTTCGCTTGGCTACAGGATGCTGCTTTCCGTAGTCGCTGGGATCTCGCAAGCATCATCCGCCGAGGCTCGGCATACGCACCATGTACGCCTACGAAATCCCAGGTCCAATGCTGAGCTGTACCAAAAGTGTCCTGCATACGCTGCGACCTCTAATTTCCCTCGCGCCTGCATAGGAACCATCCTAATCGGCTACGGGAAGCATGTCGTGGACAGCACGGGGCCCGGATGTGATAAGAGGGGCACATCTTCAATGTGCGAGTCCGGTTTGCGGCTCGTAACGAACGTTGAAAGCTTCCGGCCTTCGCAGGCGGAGAGTGGTTCACCCAGACTGCCTGGGATCCGAAGTCCTTGGTCGTGGGAGATGTGGCCGGGCATCCCGAAGGAGGGCTGTTTGCAAGGCATGTTTCTTGCATTTGTAGCGGGTTTTTTCAAGCTCATGCCGCCGTTGCCTTGCAAGCGGGCCAGAACTGTGGAGACATTCGCCACACCTCCGAGGTCGGAGTCCACATCAACCCTTTGGGAGACCTGATCGTGTGGGTGAACGGTGAGCAGGCAAACGTGTGATGCGATCCCTGCTGCTTGCCTGCTCAATTTTTGTCCGGTCCCACCTCGCCCCCACCAGAAACGCTTCGTGGCTTCGCAGGTCCTTCGGACTGTCACCAGCCTTACGGAGGGCAATCGAAATGACTTGAACCCGCGGCGCAAGGCAAGCGGGGCCATGGTTTAACAGGCGGCTTGAGTTTTTTCCTCCTGAGGCGACAGCTGTGCACAGGCTCTGAGCCATATCAGAAGTTAAAGCCCATTAGCTCGTAATTGAATCAGGCTGTGCAAGAAATTTGGGAATAACAACAGGACTATCAGCGATCAGCACTGCAGCAAGTTTGCCCATAAGATACAGGCGACATTTGCCGTAATGGTTTCTGTCTAGACTACAAGCGGTTCTGCGTATGCGCATGTTTGCTCTCTGGCGTGTGGTTCAGATATACGCCCTACACAGGCAGGACTCTAGAATCCCATGCGGCGCATGAAGAGTCTCATGAGGCTGATAGCATACTTGAAAATGCTCCAAACACAGAGGAGGGTCATGCTGGTCTAAGAATTATGTTGTTTGGAAATGCAGTTGCTGACAGAGACCATGATGACGACATCCCTGCCTCCAATCTGCTGCCCTCCTCCTTGTCAGATGCTCTTGGCCGATTTCCGAGTGATCATAGAAAACGGGTTCTAGAAAACTTACCGTCTCGTTTTTGGTTGGCTGGCCCTGGTGTGGGGCAGCAACCACAAGCCATGACTGCACGAGGGACAGGAAACACCGTTAGCCGCTAGCCGAGCCGGTGGTGTTGCTTACTAATGTTATTAATATTGCCCACATCATTCTGAATTTCCCCACGCCCGCCGCCCACCACCACGCCCGCATCTATCTATCCATCCATCCATCCA